GGGTGGTCCATAAGACCAAGGGCTTAGTTAGCCCGAGCCGTGTTAACCCGGCAGCTGCGTTGTTGAGCACCAACAGATACACATTCAATGTACACGTTAAAGAAGTAAGTGAAGTTTCAGAATTTCGCGTGCGCTCTGATGTTCACCGCTGCCCATGCTGAAGAGAGCTTGGAGGCCATTTCCTCCAACCCTCTCATTTTACAGATGAAGAAAACAGGCCTAATTGATAGCTGGCAATACTAAATTATAGCCCTTCTAAAACTCAATAGCAGAGTTAGTAGGCTTCTTAATGTGCTCGATACCATATGGATCCCACGAGCTGATGAGTGTGCTGTGACCTTGAGCATTTACATTCTGTGGTTTTCAGATGTTTATGTTTCTAACGTGGTATTTGTAATCCCAAGGCCCAGTAACCTTTTACCGCAGAGGCCTTGCCAGTCCCCAGTTTTGGGCACCTCCCTTCTTCCATACTCAGCCAGGGCTCCCAGGCTGTGCAGTATCCGCAAAGTCACAGCAGGTGCTGCTGAGAGACCAGGTCCTGAGTGAGGGCCTCATGGACCCTGTGGCCAGTTGAACTCCTTTCTTCATCTCTTGTCTCCCTCCTGGGCTCTAGGGATCGAGCCCAGATCCTTCCACCTCCTTCAGCCCTGCTCATCTTACCCCAAATGACCATAGCATCATTCCCTGGACTAAGAGAACAGTTCATCAAGCTTCATCCTCTACTGCTTAACATTTTTCTATAGCTTTTCCTATCTCTCTTTCCCGTCTCGTCAACTGGAACAGAAGCTTTATGAGAATAAGCATTTCATTTGTACACTGGTATCCCCCGTGTCTGGAATAGTATGGAAAATAGTAGGTGCTCAATAAATACATGTGCAGTGGGTATAACCTTTCCTCTTTCCCTCCTGTCTTTGGGAAACAGGTGTCCCCCTCCTTTCTAGGACTTAACCCCTGGGAGCATCAGTGTCTCCTGTCAACCCTCAAAACTTTGACCTCTAATTCATATCCTCTTTCCTGAAATCTTATTTCCTTAGTTGTCCACTCTGCTGAACTTACATTGCTGTCCATCTGTCTGCCCTTTCTCCAGCTGCTTTGCTGGAAAGTCCTCTCTCCTTCTCCTCAATGCAGTCTCCAAGATTCTGCCCTCATATGCCTTCTGCTCTTGGTATTTTTCTTTTATATAGATCTCATTGACTCATGTGGTTAACTTTTCGAGTCTTCATCATGAGCCCCAAATTTATTTCCTAGAGATGAACATCTCAATGCAAACATGATGAGAGCCAACCTCACGATGTTGCTCTCTCTGCTTTTCATGTAAGTCTTCCTCTTCATCCAGGGACCAAACCCCAGAGACCTATCAGCTCCACGTCCCCTGCCACCATCCCACACCTAATAGTTGTGTGAATTTCCTCTGTTGGTAAGCCAAGGTGGTGATGCCCTTGAGTTCATGCATTGCTTAGTGAATTTAACAGCATCCCGAATAATGTCTCTATAGCTACTCTCCCGATCTCCACCTGTCTTGCTACATGAGCCTGGCTTCTTTTTACCTGTTGAAACGATTCAGTTTGATCTCCATGGCCTTTTAAAATCTACTGCCAGTATAGCTTTTAATCTTTCTTCACACTAACTTTCTTGGGGTACCACAGTGATTCTTAACCATCAATACACATTAGAAGCAAATAGGGAATTTTGAAAAAGTACCAAACCTCAGGCTCCAAATAATATGTCCCTCCTTTCCCTTCTCCTAATGAGAGATTCTGATTCAACTGATACGTAGGGAGGCCAAGGTACCAGGGCACTTAAAAATTTCCCCAGATGTTTCTTAGATGCAGCCACGGTTGAGAATTATTGATATAACCTATTATCCAATCAAATGAACGTACTCAGGAAAGTACTTTGCCTCACATCATACTTTTGCCTGGGCAATTCCCCTCACAGACAATTCCCTTTTTTTTAATTTCCTCTTCCTACAGAAAATGCATGAAGACTTCTCTGATTCTTTCAGTTGGAAAGAATCAATCCTTTCCTGGAAGTTTCTGTATGTTTCTATGTATTACATTCATTCATGTCAGCTGGGAAGACACTGAGTTAGATAAGGACAGCATAGAGTATTAGAATAAGACAAAGTCCCTGTCTTTATGTGGCTTACAGTGGGATAGGAGAAACACATGAGCCAGTAAATAACATAAGTTTTGTGATAAAAGTCTGTAAGTGTCCACAAGATAATGTTTAGCCATAAAGGATTCTATTCTGCTTGGTGTTATAATAATTCATGTATACGTCATCTCCTCTATTAGATGGTATAATCTGAGGACCAAGACCAGACATGAGACCGCATTTTCTTATAATAGTGTTAAATGTTTGCTGAATGAGTGAGTGAGTGAGTGACTGAGTGAGTGAGTGAATGAATGACATGCTGGTCATTAGGCATCAATGGGGAGTAGCAACAGCTTCCAGGAAATAGTGGCCGGGATGGAGGGGTTGTCACCACTGGAGTTTAAAAACCATGTCATCATCTTTAATCCTAGGCTATGTGTGAGTTTTACAGTTTTCCTCAATCATCCTTTCCATAGTTTATTTAATTAGCAATAATTGCACCTCGGGTAAACCTCATTGGCTACGATACTGTTACTGCGCAAAGCTCCATAGTTTATTTAAAATGGTAATAGGAATAGCATTAGAAACTAGGTCCCATTTCTCATGACGGAGAAGAGGGTAATGGTCCGCCCAAAATAATAACTTAGCCCCTTTGGTTTTAATAAATAAATCCTAGAGATCAAATGTGATGGTTTGATGGATAAAGAGAAGAACTGGAGGAGATGAGAAGAAATAGCTGCTCACCCTATTGATCCATGAGCCTTCCCTCCTTTCGTTCTGACCTTACCATGGTCTTCAAGTTAAGTCCTTGGGCCTCTTAAAAAAAATATTTTAATATCTTTAAGTTAATGGAGACAAATAGGATTCTGCAGCATCCAGGCTAATGTTGTGTATGTGTGTGTGTATGTGTGAATGTGTGTGTATGTGTGTATGGGGTAGGCAGGGTAAATAAGGGAGGAACTAACGCACATGGGAAAGTAATTACACTTCTTTAGTGGAAACCTTTAATCTCTTGAGGAACTACAGGTATGATTAATCATTCCCTAAAAAGGAAGCCATCCTAGGGGAGAAAAGCCATATCTGAACATCCATGTTCTCCTTAAGGTCACCCGTGAATCACAGCGTAAGGGTCATCAGCGGAGGAAGCTGAAATGGTCAGGCCAGCTTCCGGGAGCATCTGAGTCAGGACAGACAAAAGGAAGTGTTTCTTAACCCAGAGAATTGTAGCACAGTGGAAACTCACTTCCCACAGAGGTGGAACAATGTGTAACCATAAGTCACTTCAGAGAAGGAATTCAGAGAACATCACGTGTACTGATAAATGGGTTGAAACTGCTCACATGTTTTGGGTCATGTCTTTGACCTTTATTCATTCTTTAACTTACAGATCGATTATTAATCCATTTATTGATTCATTTGTTGACTCATTTATAGAGTGATGAGTATAAGTCATCAAAACTTTTTTTCTTTTTTTTTTTTTGAGCACCTACTATATATATCCAGGACTGTGTTACTGGTGGGTACAAAGATGAACATGGCCCAGTCCCTGCTCTCAAAGAACTCACCATCCGGAAGGGGAGTTGAACGCATTAAGAGAAAGTCATGATGCTGGAGTGAGGGTACTGCCAGCATGCGTTATAGTGGGGAAGGAGAGGCAGGGTCTTAAGTGAACCCTCAGTGGGAGGAGTTAGCCGGCTGAACCATGGGTGTTCAGCTAAGGGATCTCACACTAGGATGGGCTTCTCACGCAGCCGAGACACTGGGAAGGCAAAGGCAGGTAGAAAGGTGTGGGGCAGCATGCAGCATGCAGAGAATTGAGAGCTGTTCATCATCACTGAAGCATGGACGATGGAGAGAATATCCAAGGATGTCACCAAAATGGTAGCCAGGTGTTCTCACTTGGAAAACTTGGACGTAGGGTAAAAAGCTTAGACTTTTTTTTTTTTTAAAGATTTTATTTATTTATTTGAGAGAGAGAGAGTGAGAGACAGAGAGCATGAGAGGGAGGAGGGTCAGAGGGAGAAGCAGACTCCCCGCCGAGCAGGGAGCCCGATGCGGGACTCGATCCTGGGACTCCAGGATCATGACCTGAGCCGAAGGCAGTCGCTTAACCAACTGAGCCACCCAGGCACCCAAAAAGCTTAGACTTTATCATGTAAGAAATGAAAAACAATTTGAGGGCTGACACCGGGAACTGACATAGACATGTTTTCATTTTTGAAAGGGAGATTGGCTCTAAGAGGGAGCCAGAGTGAAGAGGGGCCGGCCGAAAGGAAGCCAGGGACGCGGTGAGCAGGGTCAAGCCTTGAAAGGGCGGAGGAGCTGGGGATGGAAACAAGGACTGTTCTGGAGACAGAACCGAAGACAATGGGTTGTGGTTATAAAGGAAGAGGGGAAGGGAGGCAGACTGGCACGAGGCTTGGGGGGCTGTGGAGCCACTCACGAAAGGACACGGAGGAGGAGCGCCTTCTGGGTGGGGTGCTGCATGGCACCACTATACGCTTCCAGGGAAGGCCAACTTTGTAGGCGGGATCCCTCCTGCGTCTTCCCACAGTAAGCGGGGGTGTGTGTTACAGGGGACGGAGGCAAAGTAACTTTTTCTCCACTCAATCCATTGATACACCAATACGTAAGAGCATTCATTTTGAGACCCATGGCTGCTTTTTCTAGCACTGCCAGACTCTAAGCTGCCTTTCTTCCATCATTCATTCATTCATTCATTCATTCATTCATTCATCAACATTAAGCCCCTGCTGAAACTTTGGCCTCAGCACCCGCAATATAAGGTACGACAGCTTATATTCCAATGAGGGGCAATGAAGTGTGACGCACAATGAGCTGGATTTTGAGTCAGACCGACCAGGATCTAAATACTGTCACCACTACTGACGAGTCATGTGGTCTTGGGCAAACTTCCTACTTGTCTGAGCCCCTTATTTTCACTGGAGTTCTACTAGTTACTCCCCCGTTTGGAGTTAAGGAGTAAGAACTGCCAACACAGTGCTGGTCACGTGTATGTTCTCAGCTAATGGTTGTTGGTAATTTGATAAGTGTTACTGCAATGAGATATACATAAGGAAGCAAACAGTTGCACCACTGAGGTAAAAATTGCGAGAGACAGAAACACAGGGCCCGGCCGGGGAGCATGTAGGGAAATCTGGGGAACAGGGGAAGCACCTGCCTAGAATGAGCAGTGTCTCAAAGGTAGATAAGAGAAAACAGGCGAAGAAAGGGAGAGAGCTTTCTAGCAGATGACCTGGGATGTTTGGGAGCATTGAATCAATCAACAGAGGACCAACCCATTAAGGCAACTGTGAGTCATTCAGCGTGGCTTGTGCAGGCTGAGGAACAGCTGGTGCCAAGGCAGAGGTAGGTGGCACAGCTCCTGAAGGGCACACACACCATGTGCAGAAGGTCAGGAGCTTAGGCCTTGGTTTGTAGATAACCTGGGTTCCTGAGCTGGGCAGTGGAGGAGCGCTTTCCGGAGATCACCCAGGCTGCACCCTGAGGAATGCTTTAGAGGGATGGCCACTGGAGACAGGGACCTGATTACGAGCCTGCTTCAATCCCCAAAGAAAGAATGTATGTGCCTCGAACCCAAGGCGATGGTGGTAAGAAGGGAGAGGGGCAGATTCAAGGTATCCCAAGCTTGGCTGCGTGATGCAAGGCATTCTCCTTAGCTGAACTTTTTGTCCCTCCCCACAACCCAAAAACAGCAATTTGGCCTTTCTCATTCCATGAGGGTTATTTACCAGTGATCACAAGGATACAAGAGATGGCACACAGGGAACACAAGGATATGTTGCTTGGCAACCAGGGTCCCGTTCCCAGCTCCACCCTCTGAAAATGCGATCTTTCCTGGAAAATAGGGCTGAAGACAGATGCAAGATAAAACATTAAGAATTGGCCTACTAGGTATAATTCAGGGGCCAACTCATGTCAAGTGGCCAATGTGGTCGCCCCTTAGAACTTCCTCTTTCGTCCTCTCCACGATCCTTGTTAATCCCGAACACATGCTCCCAGGCGTTGGGGTGTTCGACTCTGAGTCCTCTGGGGCTGCATTATGTTTGTGGGATGTGGGCCTAGATTCAGAGGAAGCATCGTCTTGATCACACGTTGCTTTTCCCTGACACCAGCCACACAGGAGAGAAGATGCAGATATTTGAAAATGGGTTCGCAACCACTATTGCAGAGTACGAGGTGGCTCAGAAATTGAGCTAAAGCTTGTGGTTCAAATCAGACCAAAGTAGTCTTTTGAAAGTTGCACTGGGACACACCACCGTGAATGGCCAGGTACACTGTGAATTAGGAGAATCATTTTGTTTGTCAATAACGAGTGTGGGTGTTTTAACTCACAAGTATTCATTGAGCACTCTATGTATTTTTCTCCTCTTCCTTTGGACAAAGGACATTTGTAACCCACTGACTCTCAACACCAGGGTCCCATTAGGATGAGGGTATATGGAGGTAGCTCTTTCTAGTCAGAAACTTCTGACTTAGTTTTCTGCAACTTACCATTAGCCCCGTGGGATCTTTGATGATAGGAGTTGTCCAAATGTTGGTTTCTAGCCATGCTTCTCATAAAGGGGGTTTCCAGATTTAAGCCAACAGAGGAAGAGAATTGCTGACTACAGGACTGGCTTACGATGCTCTTTAATGTTCTCTTTTTTTAAAGGAAGCCAGCTAGTGACCTTGAACTTTCTCCCATAGGTAAAGCTCCTTTCGCAACAGAGTTGTGTAAGAGAAATCAGCCTTCCTGGCCCCCACAGCTGGTGATGGCCATCCATGGGAAAGAACAAAGTCCCCGAAATCTTTTTCTATGTTCTGTGTTGTGTCATTCAGATGAGGAACTGTAGTTGCAAAATTCTGAGTGCAACCCCAAGTGTAGCTACCTTGTTGCTGGGGAGCTTGCTAGAAAGGCAAATTCTCGGACCTCAGCCCAGAACTTCTGAATCAGAATCTGTATTTTAACAGGAGACCCAGGGAATCTGTCTGCACATCAAGGTTTAATAAGCACTGGTCTAAAGCAAAGGATTGAAAAATGTACAGCCCCCCCTCCACACACAGACACACACACACACAAGGACACACACACACACACAAGGACATTTTGGGACCTAAAGGCATGATACATACACTTTTTGTCCTGTAATAATATATTATGTACATTTTAAAATATACACAACATATAAACACTGAAAAGGAGGAAGTAAAAACTCAATTTGAATACTTCTATTCCTTCCTTGCTCTTGGATTCCTGAGACACAAAATGTCAGAGACTCCCGGGGCGCCTGGGTGGCTCAGTCGTTAAGCGTCTGTCTTCGGCTCAGGTCATGATCCCGGGGTCCTGGGATCGAGCCCCGCATCGGGCTCCCTGCTCCGCGGGAAGCCTGTTTCTCCCTCTCCCCCTGCTTGTGATCCTGCTCTCACTGTGTCTCTCTCTGTCAAATAAATAAATAAAATCTTTAAAAAAAAAAAAAAATGTCAGAGACTCCCGTTCTAAGGAAGCAAACGGAAAGCCATTGCTGAAAGGGATCTTAGAGCCTTCTATCTATGACAGCCAGTGAGCTTGAAACCTCATGGAACATGAAACCATAGGAAGTAATTTGTTAGGCTAAATTGAATATATTGATGCCGCTCATGCTTGTCAATTACATCAGTGTGAGAAATAGAAAACCCATTTTCTCTTCAAGGCCAGATCCTGTAGGATATTCTTTGAGCTATGACTCAAAATGGAAAGTCTAAACCTTCATTTCTAGTTCGGTGATTCAAGTCAGTGGTGGATTTGTACCCCTCTCTTTTCTGAGGTGCCTCGCTTCGGACTGGCCTCCCCTCCGACCTACAACGTCAGTTCTCGTATCTTTAAACGAGCTTCATCAGTTACTAAATCCAGACAGCTGGGAGTTCGCTTGCGTGGCATCTTTGTCTGCCCTGTTCTTCCCTCAGACACGAAGAGCCTACATGTGGCAGGACTTGTGTTGGCTTTAGGGTTAAAAGATAAATTAACACTGAGCCTGGTTTAAGGAGAAACAGGGGTCGCAAACACATCACTATAGCAACTCTTAAATGTTATCGTGAGGTGGGAACAACTTACAAAAGGCAGAAGGAAGAAGCAAGAGGAACTCTCCCTGGAAGCTGAAGGGGGTGATGTTTGAGCTGGGCCTTGAGGGATGAATAGGAGGTTGCCAGACACAGGGTACAAAAAAGGAATTTGGTGTAAAGGGACCTGCCTGAGCGAAGGCATTGGGCGGGAAACCTGCTTTATCAGCACGCCTCTTGAGTGAAATGCAAACTCTTCTAACCCACTCAATTAAAGGAAGCCTTAAGCTGACATGAAATAATAACTCTGAACACTTACTGAACACTAGGTTCTTGGAGTTGTACTATCTAAACGTCTCTGAAAGTAAATTATTTCATACGGTTTGGCCACAGCAGTGTGTGGAAAGTTTCTCAGTAGGGTACAATAAGTACTTCTCATTTACAGTAAAATCTGGAATGTTTGGGAATGGTCTGTACTAGGGAAATTGAATTTTCAGATTAACTCCATAAAAATGGAAAGTGTGGTTGAAAAACCTTCCTAATTTTGTTTTCCTTTGAAGAGATAACTGCTATTAACATTTTAGAGGCATTTCAGTTTAATCTTACCTAGAAAGGGAAACACAGAGCAAATACACTGTATGTCCAGCTTCATCAAATACCTGTTTTTAATTGAACACGTTTAGCACTTTGCCATGGTTTTTAAAGACTGCACAGTATATCAGCTTATAAATATTTTATAAATTTAAAATCATTTCTACCGTATTGGCGATGCAGTATGATTTGAATGTTTCAATATTGTAACTAATGTAGAAGGCATTCTTGTACATAATCCCAATGCACACTTCTTATTAATTCTTAGACATAAAGTCACTGGGTCAAACAGTATAAATAAATAGTTTTAAACTTTGAGCATTTTGTCAATTGGCACCAGAAAAAGCTACGGCAAATGACTCTCTCAAAAGCCATATATGAAGCCATTCGCCTCTGCGTGCTTGTCAGTATGAACCATTGACATGTCTTAAAAATCTTTGATGACCTGACCAGTGAAAAGCTGTGTTCCTTGGACCCGTGGGTCCCGGGTCTCGTACTCTGCCAGGCTCCTAGGCTGCCCAAGGCTCAGACTGGGGCTGCTTCTCCCATACTCTATGTCTGGGAGAATCTCACCCACTTACATGTTTCAAATTCTATTTGCAGCCTTCAACATTAAAGGCGGCCCTCCAGGGGCGCCTGGGTGGCTCAGTTGGTTAAGCGACTGCCTTCGGCTCAGGTCATGATCCGGGAGTCCCTGGATCGAGTCCCACATCGGGCTCCCTGCTCAGCAGGGAGTCTGCTTCTCCCTCTGACCCTCCCCCTCTCATGTACTCGCTCTCTCTCATTCTCTCTCTCTCAAATAAATAAAATCTTTAAAAAAAAAAAAAAAAAAGGCGGCCCTCCTGCCCAGCTCTCTCTTGTGAACATCAGCCCAGACCCCAGGTCTTATCTTAGACCTGTCCTTTGCATCCCCCAGAGCTCCCTCAGACCCACCCCTGGAGGGCCTAGATCCTCCTTCTGTATTGAGATTGTGTGCCAGAGTGAGCTCCACAGACATATAATATCAAAGTGTTTGAACAGCATGGGATCTGAGAACATATGAATGATTTTTAAATTCCAGTGGAAGATCCAGTGTCCTCTGCATCAGTGTTCCCTTTAACCCCCTCACCCCCATCCCATCCACCCAGGAGGGCAGGAGCCATTTTTGAGACCTCACCTGCCCCCCCCCCCACCTGTTAGAGGTGTCTATTGACTATCTGGAACAGGTAACTCAGAGCCCCTGGCTCCTCTCAGTCCACGGATGCTGTCCAGGCATCGTGACTTACAGCTTGGATTGCTGAAAGCATCAGCTAACCAGACTTCCAGCATCTATGCTTGCGTCCTGCCACTTCATTCTGCATGTTGTGTCAGAAATGATGACTTTATTTTTTTAAGATTTTATTTATTTATTGGACAGAGAGAGACACAGCAAGAGAGGGAACACAAGCAGGGGGAGTGGGAGAGGGAGAAGCAGGCTTCCCGCTGAGCAGGGAGCCCGACGCAGGACTCGTTTCCAGGACCCTGGGATCATGACCTGAGCCGAAGGCAGATGCTTAATGAGTGAGTCACCCAGGTGTCCCAGAAATGATGACTTTAAAAGCAAGTCTGATCCTCTCTTCCTTGATTGAAACCCTGAGATGCTTCTCGTTCCCCTAGGATGGGGCTGATGGTCCTCAAGGAGCCCCCCAAGCCCTGCATGGTGTGGCTTTGCTCCAAGCTCCTGCCTGACCCTGCTCTACTCCTCTACTCAGTGCCCTTCC